TATAATAATAGATATGATGATATAATAACGATCTTATAAATCTATACCACTGTAGTAAGCCTAATGAATCCGATATGCTAATAAACCAATGATATCCGGCGGAATTGATACCCAGCTGAGTGAAATAAATCGCGTGAATAATTAAATAACCCTATCCATTGCCAGCGAGATAAAATCGTCAGCGCGCGCGCGGGGAAAAGTTCCGACATCTTAATTAAAATACATCACGGCATTCTCTCCCCGGGCATTTGCATACATAAATAACAAACACAAGAACATCGCAGGATCGCTGGTGCAAGATTTTAACGAATTCCCGTCCTCCCTTCTGGCCGTATGACGTCATACAGGCTGCCCCGCGTACGGCCGCACGAAGCGGAAACTGGCACGCACGCGGTACTTCCGCTACATATCCCTGGCAAGAAGCGCCGCAAGAAACGAGAATTCTCCAGCAGGAAATTTACAAGCGGTAGAACAAACGCGCGACACCCGAGATCTTGCGCACACCCGTCCCGTCTCCGTGAAAGCTAGGGAAGATCAGAGAGACATCAGCTTCACGGTGTTTCCGACGTTTAATCGCGTGCACACGCGCGCGATCGCACCGCTTCGCGCAAATACATGTATTAATAAACTGTCGATCTACACTGTAAGAAGTTTTGTGTCAATTTCACGTTCTAATTTGTTCACTCCAATTTTTATTTAACCAATTTAACTCAAGGCAAGTATGTTAACACAAATAACATGTAGAAAATTAACGCAAAAATGTAATGCTTGGACACTATTATGTTATTTTAACAATTTGGAGACGATGAATATAAACTTAACGGAATAGCAAAAATAATGACAACACGTTAAATTAGCACATGAATATGTTGAAAATTTAATAAATTTCTATATGGATTCATTTCAACACAAATATAAAATCGCGTAACTATATTTAATTGTTTTTGTTAAAATTTTTTATTTCATACTGTTTAATTATTTAGTAAGTTTGTTTCTGAAGTCGGTTAAAAAAATTATTTTTTTTAGTCGATTAAAAATAAAATTTCGTCTTGTATTTCTATATGTTCTCGGATTTTCAAGAAAGCAATGGAATTACTCAATTTCTAGATCACTTGATCAAACCAGGGTAATGACACTTATCTAAGGGTCACGTAGATAATATACTCAACAAGCTGCAAAAAGTTTCATCTCAATGCCTCTAGTGATTTTTAAGTAATGAGGAAACGTACAA